CTGCACTCCTGGTGAGGCTTCGGGTGCCACCTGAGTGGAAACAAGAAAACGACGGCCTGTTTACGTTCCATCTGCTGGCAGCAGGTCCAGCATAAGGAGCGGCACCTGCTTGAAGCAACAAATGTCCCGTATTTTTCCCCATTCACTGCAGGCTCAACAAAAATCGGCGCGCAGGGCATATTCAGGCTCGGCTTCAATAGCTGGGCCAAGTACTGGTGGTTTAACTATAACCGAGACAGTCCTCTCCTTTAACCACTTAATTTTAAGTTCGTGCAACGATGCATTTAACTTGAACTATACTTCTTTTCCCTGGACCGTCATCTCCCCTTAATAGAGGTCTATCGGATATACGCCATCATCAAAGTAGGGAGCTAGAAGAGATCTGCTTCGCTCTTCTTCTCCCTAGTTGTCCGTTTGGTCGGAGGGATCCGGCGTTTGTGAGCGAGCAGTTGTTCTATCACCCCTTCCATCCTTGGCCTCGTCCATTGAATTCCTTGCTTTCAACCTACCCCTAAAAGATCAGAGTACACGAGGTCTATTGCAACCCTGGTGATGTCTCGAAGAGGATAACCTACGTGTTAGCGTACAATTTAAGTGCACAACTTCGTCATCTCTTCGTCTCAACGTACTTCCATAGGGCACATGATGTCGGTCGCCTGACTACCAGCTAGGGAGTGCCCGAGCCGCCTAGCTGCTTTGTCCCGCATGCTATCTCCGTAATAGCGCTTCAGCCAACTGGAGGGCCGTTTTACCGGCCTGGTAATGTGGGGGCAGAGCGCTCAGCGCCAGCCGCAGCATTCCGTCCCTGCGCTCACCCAAGGTGGAAACCCGCAGCAGATATATCTTTATACAGATTATGACCAAGCAGAACAATGCAGTGAATGTTGGTGAATGCATGGTCTTGTTCCATCAGTAATGGTGGAAGGTCGAGGTTCCAAGGGTTCGGCTGTTCGCCGTCGGAAGTGGTAAACTCATTGCTGTGTCAGACGAGCAGCGTCTGAACAACCTCATTTGCGTCCCTTGGGCTGCCAGGCCAGGTCAGGGCTACCCCCTCTGGCTAAGGGCCTCATCCCACCATACTCACCGCAAGTAAAAGTCCGACAGATACGTAAAAGCCCGGTCCGCGGGTTTCGCATTAGGTAAGTAAAATGGCACTCCACTGTCCCGACATTGAAGGGAATTTTACGTGAGTGGCGGCGGCCTTTGTTGGCCGTTCTGGCCACGGACGAATCAGGCCCGGCAACGGACAAAAGAATACAAAAACAAAAATTAAAAAAACTTACTGTAAGTTCGCGTAAGGGTAAGGGCCCATCGAAAACGGAAAACGGAAAACGGAGCTCCCGAAGTTCCCTCCACGACCGCCATGTTGTGAACCGTTTTCACATGCCTCCGTTCACCGCGGAGGCCCCGGGGTTCAAGGAAACTGGTGGGATACCAAAAAAATGAAAAAAAATGTATTTTTTACTTACCGTGAGTATGGTGGGATGAGGCCCTAAGTCAATGCATATGTAGCCTGAGATATCAGCTTGAAACAGACCGGCCTCAGGTAAATCCAGAGTTATTTCCCTCATCTGAGTCCACCAGGAATAGAACTCTCAGTTGGTCTGCCAACTGAGATAGGCGCTTTGGTAAGCTCGTGGTTTCAGGGATCTGTCAAAATTTGACACGTCAAAGCCTGTAGGCTAAGGGCTAGACACGTGGCAGAACACGTAGTCCAAGAGCCACTAACACAGGGCGTGCTCATCCCATTTACGGCACGACCTCCATGCGTCATCTGGAGCCACAATTCCGTCCAGACAGAAGAAAAGGAAGTGCTACTTGTCGGTCCAGATCCCACTGGCAAAGAGGGGTGGAATAAGTGTCTGCATCGGGATGTGTTCCACGCAGAGGTGCATAAAAGCAGGTCAGTCACAATGTTTTGCACCTCTCCACAAACACGTCCAGATTCGGACGCTTATTCCAATTCTCTTTGCCAGTGGTATCGCGCCCGTAGTCTGACCATGCCCTCAGTGTGTGTGACCGCAGCCCAACCAGTCAGGTCCGGAAATTGGTCAACTCCGGCTTCTTTTTTTTTTTTTTTTTTTTTTTTTTTTTGGAAAAGGACGACGGCCTTGAGATATCATTAACCTGACCGGCCCCAAGTAATTCAGAATGATTTCGTTCTGGTGATCTGATTGTATCTGATTCGAACTTGGGTCTGTGTTTCAACACTTCATGGGTGGTGTACCAACTGAGCTAGGCTTCTTTTTTCAAAGAAGAACAACGAAAATATACTATGATGTGATCAACACATCAGGAGGAACCGGCCCATGTGGCTGAATGGTGCAAATGATATGTTGCTAAGCAGGCTTGTGTTCGAGTCCACAAGAAGGATGTAATAAACTCTTGAATTACGTACAGCCGGTCAGTTGTGTTAGTGCCGTCGCCCAAGAAGCGGGTCAACCACACCAGCAGGGCCACAAGTGCTCAACGTGCGTCTCGAATTCCGTCGGATCCGATCTGAGGCGCAGGTGACGGGCGGGTCCTGGTGTAAGCGCGCGTCGTGGCGGACTCGCACAAGGACTTCCGCTGGCTGTACGCGACAGTAATTAAGGTCAGATTCGAGCGATAAAAGTCCCGGTGTGAGTAGGCCCTTTGGATGGGATGGGATGGTGCATCCCAGCAGCAACCCCCGGGGCTAGGTCCCACTTACACGAATTAAGCGACATTGACCGTAGATTGCAAAGATCAACGGCCACAATCTCTTAAGCCGTGCAAGTGGGACCTTGCCCCCGCTCCCGACGAGGGGCGAGGAGAAGAAGAGGAGGTTTGCAGCGGAGGACCACCCCACCGGAAATGCCGTCGCCCGCAGTGAGGCACGGCGGGAAAGGGGGTTGCACTGCACGTGCGCGGGCGCTTGCCGGCCGGGGGAGCACCTCGTGCGCGCGTGCGCCCGTCGCCGAGCTGCAAATCACCATCCCGCACCGTGCGGCTAGGATCTAGCGCGAGAGGAGTGTGACTGACAGGCTGAGGGCGGTCGGGGGGAAACCCGCGGTAGTTGGGAGAGTGGTCTTTGTTTTGATTGATCGGTCTGCCGTCATATCGAAGGCACGTGCAGAGCGGCAGGTGGGTATGGGCACTGCCCAGTGTTTGTGGCGGGGTTTTGGCCCCCGACCGTCAGGGCAACGCATGGCACAAATTAATTAATTAAGGCTGTGGTCGTCGAGAGCTCGAAACCCGACGGTGACGCTTGTTCTCTCGATGTCAATGCAGGATACAGGAAAGGACAGGGCGGCAGAGGAGAGCGAGATATCGGGATTGGGAGGAGGAGAGGCGTGCGAACCTGCCGCCCAGCCTCTGTTGTCGTCTAGCGTCTGGTGTTTCCTCTTCCGCGCGCTCTAATACTCAAAACGTGTCTCACATGAAGGGCGCCATGCTAGGCGCACAGGGGGAGGTGGTTTTGGCGGGGGCCGTCCTTGCATGCAGATCTGTGTTGGCGCGGGGATGCGCCGAAATCCGCAGGAGGAAATAATCGGACATTTGCCCAAGCGCTAGCCTGGAACGTGATGAGATTTTCTATGCCAGAAGATATTGACTCGATCGACTTAATTAATTAATCGGGTTGGTCAATGATCGAGCTGGCCACTGTTGATTGGTGAAATTGATTTTGATTAATTAGTTGATCGGTCGATGGATTGGGGCAATGATAGTCGGTTGATTGGGTCACAGATTAATTAGTTGATAATTTGATTGACTGATCGCCGATTGATTGGGTTCACTGCATTTTGCTTAATTGGCGAAGACCAAAAATTGGTCCCTCGAGTGATTAATCTTGTGGCTGGTGGTTTCCTCGCTGCGCATGAGCGCTGAGCGACTCCAGGGGAATTCCGACTTTGTCGACTTTGTCGTTTTCTACCGAGTGAGGGAGAAGAAGAATGATGCGGTGAACCCGCCAGGAAACTGCCGTGCGCTATTGAGAGCACTGGTATAGTCAAACTCATGTGATCACGACAGCGGTGTCGCGGCTTCTTGAGGTTGCAAAGCCAGGGCTACCACAACCCGGATGTCAATCATCTCCCTGTCATCGTTATCACACTCACGGGTCCCATTCGCCATCGTTGTAGTCGTGTTCACCGTCAATCGCCGTCGACTCTTCATGACCATTCTTGTTTCCCCGCGGGGGAGCAGGGCCGGGAGTTCGCTTCACGGGGTAAACCATCGATCCACCAATCAATCGATGCGGCGCCTCGTAACGCTTCTCTTAAATCATATGACCATGTAAATCTGCCCCCTCATTGTCTAGAACTTGTATGCCATCGCGTGTGTGTGTGTTTGTGTGTGTGTGTGTGTGTGTGAGAGAGAGAGAGAGAGAGAGAGAGAGAGAGAGAGAGAGAGAGAGAGAGAGAGAGAGAGAG